TTATCCTCGTAGAGAAATTTGAGTACAACAAAAAGCAAGTAGTCATGATCAGAACTCAGAGACAATCCCTCTGCAGAATGATCACAATCAGATTATTCAAAAGACAAATCAGCAATTCAGTTTATTTATGTAGCGCCAAGTCACAGCAGAAGTTATCTCAGGGCATTGAACAGAAACATTCAAATACATAAAAAGTAAAAATAACATTGTTTATCTGAGGAGCCAGCAGACTGCTTTGAGCCGTAACTTCGTCACAGACTCTCATCCAGCAGGAACTAATCATGTTTTACTTTCATTCCTTTCCGCTGCAGACTTGAATGATAAATGCCAGTGAGGCGAGAGGAAAAAGTCTTCATTACAGTATACAAGCTGAAACTAACAGCTGATACCGTTCTCACCGTGTGACAGGTGAAAATGAATTTCTTTAAAAAGCACATTGATTTTAAAACTGCTATTTTTGCAGGTTTTATCAAATATTCCTGCAGCAAAGCAGATGTTTTCTCCTGCAAGCTGGAACACCAGCACCTCTGTGTTTTATCACTGTGCTGCTAGTCTGAGCCAAGGGGAGAGGGTTAATGAAAAGTGGCCGGTCTTCAGTCAAACCAGGCATTTTTAAATTATTTGACAATGGAAGGAGCATAAAGGGTCAGTTGTAAAATGGCTCAGTGAATAAATTAGTTTGCAGGTTCAGCAGTTTGCTCTGAGGACAAAATAAAAGCCTCATAGCACAAAATAAATTAGTAGTTGGAAATCATGCTACATTAATTTTATAGTTCCATTAGCTGCAAACTGATTTCCTAAAACTTACATGTTTTTAATTTTTGTTCAGCTGGTATTTAAGTGAGCTTGTTGCAGGACTTGCAGTGAAGAAAGCAAAGCTCACCGCAGGTCAATAAACTGCATCTGCAGGACACTTTTCAGGTCCTGTTGACCCCCCAAGCACTTTAGGACCAACCACAGAGTCTGCAGACATCAAGGTCTTCTCTGTGACACCCTGATGACAAATGTTCGTCCTCCTGAGCCACGCTGCAGTGAAGATCACCTCCGTGGCATCCTGAGGATTTGGGACAGTTTTTCTGACTTACTGGAAGCTGAGTGTCAAGTTTCTTTACTTCAAATGCTTTATTATGGCAAATTTTTTAAATAGTACTTGAAAATGTGTCAGTATGCAGAAGTCTTCAGTATTGGCTCAATTTGGAGAAAACATTGTACAATTTTTTTATTTTAAATCGTAAGTATTAAAAAATAATGCAAACAATATTTTCTTCCTCATTCATAAATATTTATACCTTCTAAACCACACAGACATCTTAAATGCCTATTTTAAACATTGAATTTATAAAATAAATTTATTGAAAATCAGTTTTAGATTTCATATCATGCACGAGTGCATAATGGTTTGTGTCCAACACGTGGGCCTCCTGCAGGTTGAGAAGCAGCTGTCAGGTGATGCAAGCTCGACACTGACACCACGTGGACATTTTAAAGAACTGCAGCACCTGCTGCTGCACATTTCAACCACCTTGACAAACTTCTTGTCCTTTTTCAGGTGAACACGTTTTTAGGTTTAGTCCAGATGTAAAAATATGCGCATCTAAAAGTTGTACGTGTGTTGTAATGATATAAAATCCTACCTGGATGTCTGACGTCATCAACTGGAGGCAGACTGGTTTACCTGAGACAAACCGAAACACTTCTCTGGGGTGTCCCAAAACTATTTGCTTAATTTTCCACCTGCACAGACACTTGGTTGTGGATAAAATGATGGCTGGTGTGAGTTTATATTTAGCTCAGTTTCATGTACATTGCTGTCAAATGTTTCTGCTCTTGGTTTTATTTTTATATATTTTTTGTTTTATTATTATTAATCTTTATTTAACCAGGCAAATCCCATTGAGATCACAGATCTCTTTTGCAAGGGAGGCCTGGACCTGAAGGCAGCCTAACATGCATGTTTTTGTCTGTGGGAGGAAACCGGAGTACCTGGAGAAAACCCACGCATGCACGGAGAGAACATGCAAACTCCACACAGAAAGACCCCAGGTCCAACTGGGGATTGAACCCAGGACCTTCTTGCTGTGAGGCAACAGTGATAACCACTGAGCCTTAGTTTTCTAAGTATTTTAATATAATTTAACTTTCTTTCAGCTGCTCCCTTCTTCAGGGGTTGCCACGGTGAGTGATCTCCCATGAAAAATTTGGCAATTGTTTTAAGCCAGATGTCCTTCCTGCCATAACCTGGGCTTGAACCTGCAACCACAGAATTATAAACAGTGGCACTGACCACCGAGCTACTGCTGCCATTTATCATTTTCCTTTTCGTGTAAGCACACATTATTCTACAATGGTGAAGTGAAACCAGTGTTGTATAAAGTACCTCAAAGTGATACTTCAGTGAAAGTACAAGTATCTTACCATAAAATTACTTTAGTAAAAGTTAAAGTCGCCTTTCAAATTATTACTTAAGTAAAAGCCTTAAAAGTATTGGACATTTAATGTACTTAAGTATCAAAAGTAAATTTCTCTTCTAAAATGTACTTAAAGTATAAAGTAAAAGTAAATGGTTAGAATTTCCAAAACAACATTTATTGGGTGCAATATCCAGTGACAAATACTTGGAAAGTTTGAACTGAACAATGAAAGATTGATCTTTAAAAAGTCTGATTCTAATGAAGTATTCAAACTTTATTAACAAAGCTGTTAGAAAACGCACATTGTTGTGTTTATTGAGCTAGGTTCTGTTTGGTTACGGCTTGTTTCTGACTTATTAATAATATAGGATATATTATAGGATAATATAAGAGCATAGGAACTAATAGTTACTATGCTCTTGAAGCAGTTCATGTTCTGGAGAACACCTAACTTCTTTTTAGCAGCCACCATCATTTTCACACCCATCAGGAATGTGGCTCCACTGCGAGTCAACAAAGACGTATCGTAACAATTGATATCTGTACATACATCTAACTTGTTCACAGCGGGAGCTGCAGGTTTCACCCAAGCCACGGGGGAGAGGCTGGGTGTTTGTGATTGACAGTGTCAGTGAGGGAGAAAGAAGTGGCCGCATGAAGTCACAGACTGGGAGAACAGGCATTGTCCAATCAGATTTCTTCTAATTTTAAATTGTAGTAACTGGTAACCAAGATGGTTAAGGGAAATGCATTGAAGTAAAAGTACACATTTTATTGAGGAAATGTAGTGAAGTAAAAGTGAAAGTCACTAGAAATGTAAATAAAGTAAAAATGTGTCAAAATTCTACTTAAGTACAGTAACGAAGTATTTCTACTTAGTTACATTACAACACAGTGAAACCAGTCTGACAGACCACTGGGGGAGGTCACCAGATTCATTGAAGGAATGCACAACACCCAGCAGCCTCCATGCTAAAGATTTAAACAAATATTTCCTCAGTTAGTGCTCAACGTTTGTGTTTGAGATCACTCCAGCTCTACCAGTTCAATATCTGTAAAACCAGTCAATTTTTTTGTTTACTCAGTTAATCCAAAATTTACCTACTGAGAATTTCATTCAAATCCATCCAGCGGTTCGTGAAATATTTTACAGACAGACATTTATTACTGAAGAACATTCAACCCTTTGACTTCAACCCAACACGATTAACTCAAGTCACAAATATTCATCAAAATGTTTTATTGAACAAAAGTATCTGAATTCTCATCACGTGGTCAGTACAGTACCGTAGTTGGATCTTAACGATTCATATATGCACCTCTTATTTTGAATATATACATACAGTGGAGACAAGAATTAAATAACAGTGCTCAGTAACATTCAGATATATCGTATAAAAGCCGAAGACCCCATCAACACTTTCATTGGTAAACAGAAGAATCAGGTAAATGTTTGGCATTAGTAGATTTTCAGCTTTACAGCAGGTGATGATATTTATTTGGCTTGACAGAGGAGAAAAATGAACGTTTTTAAAGTCCAGCTCGGCTGAGCTCCTGCTTTTAATCTGGAAATAAAACACGTGGATGAATATTTACTTAAAAAAAACAAAAAAAAGGCCAATTTATTTTAGTTGTGACGCTTAAAGGGAGTTACTTTCTTTAAAATGATCATATCGACTTTAAATATCCGACGCAGCCTTGTTATACTTGCTCAGCCATAGCAAACCAGATATTCAAAAGGACCGACAAATACTTCCTTTTACAATTTACTCGTCACCATATGAAATACTCTGATTTATAAAAAGCTACAAGCTTTATAATAAGTCTGTTACTGGGGTCTCATTCAATATCTTTGTTTTTGTTTACATTCTCTGCAAAACTCTATAATCACAAGACAACATCTGAAGAGGTACTTTGCATAACTGCATTAAATCGCAGCGACAGATTGACTGCAGTTACTCCAAAGTGTTACCCAAAAGAAGTTTATTAGTCTGTCAGTATCGTCACGTAGCTACAGACTGGACAGAACAGTAACATGTTCAATGTGACACAGTATAAAGCATGAGCACTGAGCTGTGACTGAACCAAAGCATGGTGAGTGCAGTGCAGGCCTGGAGCCAGTAGTAACGAGGAGGTGGCACATTTGGTTACACGAATCGACATTCAAAAACTACAGGATCTCAGAGGTCTCTGCTATTGCATCGATGCCCCCACCGCCCTTACCGCCTCTGATAGAAATACTACAGCGAGCGTTGTACATCGAAAGCATCGCTAGAAACAGAAACGAGGAGGAAAATTAAATTAAAACATTTGAGCTGGAGAGAAAAATCACGTAGTGGAATGGTGGAAAAAAAAAAAAAAGGCAGAGTGATTCTGGTCACTTTACGAAAACACGACGATGCAAACCGTCAAAGATGAGAACTTTAAATTAACTCGACAAAAGACTTTCTACCCAGCAACGATTTTTTTTTTTTTTTACAAATAAATGAAAGGAAATAAAACAACGTGCTGCAAATGGACATGACAGCAGAGTTAGGACCCTCAGAGGAGCGAGTCCTCTCTGATCTGGTAAACGTCCGTTCTCCTGCGATAATTAAGAGCAATGGTGTAACTTCCAACGTGCGCACTCGTAAATAGACATTAAGGATGACGTCAGAGGGAGAGCTCAACCCTGACAAGGCCTCGGGCATTCTGTTAGCAGCACATCCAAGATGAAGAGGCGCGTTATACATGAGACATTCTCCGGCTCAGTGCAGGATGTCTTGGGGTTGACTGTAAAAGAGTGAAGAGCTAGAAAAAGTTTCACCTGGGGGGGCGGGGTTTGATTCACCACTAGACGGTGACCAGTAAACCCAGTAGGTGCGACTGAGGATGTGGAACAGACGCCACTGCAGGAGGGTCCGGAGCTAAGGCTCGAGTTAAGACAGTAAGGGAGTGGTGTATCATGCGTGTACATGTGTTTTGTTTGAGATCCAGTGCAGATGTGAGAATCACAGCAGCGATTTCACCAGGTACAGCTTCTCTCCATGTTCGCTGGTGAAGATGGGGGCTTTCTTGTAATGCTCCACTAGTTCATCCATGGAGTTGAACCTGCGCTGGCCGATGCAGTAAACTCCGTCCAACAGCTGCACTTTAAAGTGTTTATTCTTCCCCACCGCCTTCAGAGACACGGAGAAATCACTGGGCTGGAAGAGACGAGAACAAAAAGAGGGACAGATCTTTATTTGGACACTTCCAGCAGATGGCAGCACATCCCCCTTCTTAAACATCTGCAGCTACAGCTGGAACCAGCAGAAAAATCCTCACATATGCTGATCTAAACTTTTAAATTTGACTTTTATTTCAAATGTGTTTGGCTCTTTTTGTGGTTTTGACTTTAAAAGTTCGTCTGCTGACAAAGAGATGTTCCTCTGAGGACTGCTAAAAACTGGACGTCTTTCTATAGACATCATACATTTGAATATTGAGGAAAAGACCCCCACCCCCCACTCAGTTCAGAAAGTGAAATATTTCAAGATTTATTTATTGTCATTTTGATGATTATGGCTTACAAATAATTAAAAAATAAACTCCAGTGTCTCAGAGAATTAGAATATTCCACAGCCAGTTGTTGGTACCTTTTGTCAGTGTGGGCAGGAGTCAAGTCCTGCTGGAGAATTAAATCAGCATCTCCATAAAGCTTCAGCAGAAAGAAGCATGAAGTCTCTAAAATGTCCTGCTAGATACTGCGTTGACTGTGGACTTCAGAAAACCCAGTGGACCAACACCAGCAGAGGACATGGACCCAAACCATCAGTGAGTGGAAATTTCACTCTGGACTTCAAGCGACGTGGATTCTGTTCCTCTCCACTCTTCATCCAGACTCTGGGACCTTGACTTCCAAATGGTGTGCAGAATTGAATTGAATCTCATGTGAAGAGAGGACATTGGACCACTGAGCAACAGTCCGGGTCTTTGTCTCCTCAGCAGGTAAGACGCTGACGTTGTCTCTGGTTCAGGAGTGCTGGACTTGATGAATGAGACATTAAGTTAACCAGCTGATCAGGGTGAGACGCCAGGAGTTTATAAAACTGAACCTCTTCACAAGATTCTCATTTTATAAGATGCTGAATTTTGGTTTTTCATTATTTCTAAGCTGTCATCATCAAAATTACAAGAAAAGCTTGAAATATGTCACTTTATGTAATGAATCAAATATTTGTAATATACTAGTTTCACTTTCTGAAATGATTGACAAAAATATTGCACTTTTTCCACGATATTCACTTTTTTTTTTTTTTCGATGCACCTGTATGTGGAATTAAAACTGAAAGTCTACAATTACACACCAAAAGAACAAATTTAAATGATTTGAGGTATTATTAGAAACTAATGAAGTTTTAATACAATGACTGATGCAGAATTTTTCGCAACAATAAAGTCATGTCAAACATTTCTAACCAGGTCTGAAATTATTTAGAAAAATAACTAATATAGCTACTTAACCCCCGAACTAAAACGCTCAACATTGTTCTATTTAAAGCATTGTACAGATGTGGGTTATTACAAACCAGATGCAATAAACTGTAGGTTCACAATTAAAAGTGTGTAGCAGAAATGTGCTTAAATATTCATCACCAGAATTATAAAGACATGCAGGTGTATGGCTCTTCTTTTTAAAGACCAATTCATTTGAAAACAAAACTAGTTTTATATCCTGTCTGTAGTTATGACTGGATGTAGACACTAATAATGTGCATGCTGCGTTATTTACACCACGACTAGTTAGTGACATCAAGAAATGCACTGCAGAGTAAAGGAGAAGCAGGAAATCTTTGTTTTCTCACTTCTGAAATTAGGAACTGAATAAATACTGGACAGAAGGTAAAAACAAGTGAGCAAACAATCAGCAAAGAGTCCAGCAGGGAGGGAGTGTGCGTGTGTGTGTTTGGGGGGGGGGAGGTGGGGTGAATCTAATTAACATGACGTGAACGACGAGAAAATGTAACCCAGGGTGAGCTAACCTCCGACAAAACAAACTAGATCGCTATAATGGTGAAGGTAGTGAAGCTCACAGTGTTACCCGAGGCACTTATCTGTCAACATTAAGGCAAAGACGACAAAAACCAACAAATAAATAAACAAATCAAAGGAACTTATAACTTTAAACAGTTACTGCAGATGTGTTCACGCAGAAGAGTGACAAAGGACAAGACTTTACAGTGAAATTCACAACATATTAAATGCTTTGTGCAAAATCAGTTTAGCGTTAACTCGTCATAGTGAACAAACTTGTACAACCAGAAGTTGCATAACATACAAAACAAAGCACAGCTAGCTTTAAGCATTAACCTTAATTTAACCATTATCCATAGAAAGTAGTTATGATTTACTTGCAGTAACCTTAGTACAGATGAACATGTGGTACTTCCTGTTTGTCACTGTTGTTGTCGGGAGACTGCGATGAAGAAACAACTTAAAGCATTCTGTTACAGCTCAGATAATTAATGTTATTAAGTGACTTTTTATGGATATGTTCAGTTCCCTGAGACGACTGCTGTTGTGATTTGGTGCTAAATAAACAAACTGAATTGAATTCAGCTGATCATGAGGCCTTTGTCCATCTTTGACATTTTTTCAAACTCCATTTAGGTTTTGTGAATGGAACAAACTGTATTCCGCTCTCTAAACGCTCAGTGTCTGAAGTGCATGTTCTCCACTGACAAAGGTGAATTTTTTTTGAAGATTTTTCATGAAACCTTTATGACCGCAAAGCGTTGGTAATGCGAAACCCTGACAATGTTGCCAGAGGAATAGGGGGTGCAGCTCCTGCAGGTAAGGGGTGTTTACCTTCGGGACAAACTATAATCACAGATTAGTCAGTTCCTGACAAGCCTACTGGATTGATTGACAGGTGTCATGTCAGTTGGTTCTTCACAAGGATCAAGAAAAGCTCACCAAAAAACTTAAGTGACATCACTCTTTAGGTATTCAGTATCTTTGTAATGTTGTCCAAGAAAACGATATTCAAGAATTTGCCTGAAGTACGTTAAAACTGTTTGGTTTGTTGTGGTGGAGCTCAGAATACAGAAAAAAAGCATCAAACGGGCCCAAAAAACCCATAACCTGACCCTACAAACGCACTGAATGTTCAAACGAGGCAATAAAGTAGCTACATTATAATTATACATTATAACTAGAACATTTTCTTTCTTTTTTTGTTTTTTTACAGGATAAATATGGTGAAATAAATGTGAGCTATAAGTAGCAGCAGAATGGACTGTTGCAAAGTGATTCGGTATCTGTTGAGCACATTACAACACTGAATATGGAATTACTTTTTCCACTTTCTTCTCTTTGTATTTGAAGATGTTTTTGTTTACGTCACCCATCCACATCAACTTTCTGAAAAACACTGATTTATAATGGTCTTCTAGAGAATATGTGAGGAAACAGCCTTTAATCTCTTTGTGCTCGTTTAATGTGAAATACCTCTGAATAAAATATGGAAGAAAAAAAACTTTGGTGATGTAATCAAAATGACATCACTGAGTGATGTAAACGAACCATATTATTGATTACAAAGATGCACGTTGTGGTATAGGTGTTATATGCGTACAGAAATTTTCAACCCTTAATTCAACTTGTAAAACATTGTGCTCAATGAATGAATTGTGATTAATATATTTTTTATTGTTGCATAAAGTTTGAGTTTCTAATCTGGTCAACTATAATTAAGTTTATTTTTCTCCAGCCTCCATTGTGTCAGTGTGTCATGACTTCACCCGGCTGACTCACCGATGACTCGCTGTCTCGTATGAGGAAGTCGCCCTCCTCCCCCTTCTCGTTCAGCATACACTCGGCCTGGTGTCTGGTGATGTTGCCGTAGTACCAGTCCCTCCCAGCGAACCTCCCTGAGCGTGCGGGTGCCAAGCGGTTCTGTGGAGAGCCTGATGTAGAGGAGGGTATGCTAGGCTGCTCGTCAAGCACCATCACATAGTTTTTAGGTACCAAACCCACAACGCCACGGGAGTTCTTACACCTCCACCACTCAGGGTCGTTCTCAGGCTTCTCCACCACGTCCATGATTTCTCCTTTCTCAAAGTTCAGCTCCTCCTCTGTCGCAGAGCTGAAAGGGTAGAGTGTTTGAACCTGATGAAGAACACTGCCACGGCCGCCTGCGCGACCATTTGCTAACAAAGTTCCTTGAGGTACTACTTGGTAGCGATGTGAGGAGTCTCCCTCCTCTCTGTCGTCGGCCCCTGCGAGCTCCTCTTGGACATAATTTGAGGGGAACCAGCCCACGCGGCCCGCCTGACTGCCCCGCCACCAGCCGTCGCTGCACTTCTCCATAACCATCACCCTGGAGCCCTTCATCAGCGTCAGCTCGTCATCCCTCTCTGCTGTGTAAGCAAACTTCACCACAGCAGGGATGTTGAGGTCGTAGATCCTCTCGGCGGCTCCGACCACACCTCCACCCTCCCTGCCATTAGAAGGGTACTCCGTGTCCGAGCTCGGTGTGGGGGAGGCATCCCGGGCGCTCGTCTTCCTCTTGTGTTTACCTAAACCTGCGTTTGTGGACAAAAACAAAACATGAAGTTCGTTATTCCACATCTGAAGATCAAATTTTTGTCTCCTAAACATTTTCAACAAACTTTAACTGAGGCTTGTAGTCAATGGGCACCCAGAAGACTACAAAACAAGTTCCCCTGAAAAGAAAAATCCTGAGTGGCAAAGAGCCTACAGGTAAATACTGCATATCAGATTAGGATTTTTTATTCAATACTTAAATTTTGAAGAAATGCAGAGGCTCATCCCTCTGCGCGTTCCCGCTTCCGTAAATCGGGTTTTGAAACACGGCTGATTTGATCGTCAAAGTGCATTTATTAAGTAAAAGTTCAATTGAGACACACCTTTACTATAATTTTGAGCAAATTGTTTTTAAGTGTTAATCTTGTTAAATTTTTTGTTAAAATCCTCCCGTGCGCTCCATTTGGCAGCCAATCGATTTTTGGCACAACACCGGCCCACATTTCCAGGATGTCAGCGGTGACTCATAATAGATACAACGTATATGGTGAAGCAACGTATTTATGGATTTTTCCACTTTATTAGACATATTTGTACTGATGCGACTTATAGGGCGGTGCGACGTGTTTGGCAGAAAATATGTAGTAAAGTTTTGATCTGTCAGTTACGCATTCCACAAAGTTTACAGTGATTTTACTTTTGTTTTCACGTTTAACAGCTGTGAAACAATTTGAGATCTTCATTTATGTGTCTGATCTTATTCTCTTTTTGTTTCACTCTGGATCTGCCATCCCACCAGCTTCAATACAGTGCAATGTTCAGAGGGGACTTGTCAGCTGGGCCTTAGTGGAAGCACAACCAACCAAGGCTGAAAGGAATGCTGATGGTCCAGGGTGACTGAGTTCAAGGGAAAAAAGGTTTAGGGAAGTATAGTGGAAACTCATCTAGTGCTCATCATCTACTTGGTATTCAGTCAACATAATCTATCACACTGTATACACATCTATACAAATCAAAAGGCTGGAAATAGATGGTGCACAGAGGGGAAGAAAAGTGGAGCAGGCACCATGGGTTTGATAATGACAGGCATAACCAAGATCAAAGTCAGCTCCTGTCTCACCTGCCTCTGACTTCTCTATTCATGCACGTTCAAAGACGAGTCTTTAAACGTGTTTGCACACTTCACTGAGACCCCAAGTTTCTGAAGTCTCTACTGAACCCAACTGAAGGAGGCCTCCTCTTTTTCTCTCAAGCATTTTAAAATAATAATTACACACATGGCAGCTTAAAACATTTAAACCGTTTACTTGACAGCTGAAGCCGGTGTCAGGATTTGCTTACGCTAATGATGGAAGTGAATATCTTGACAGCTCATCACCCAGGCTGTGCCACAGAAGTGTCACTGCTGAGCAGAACCATTTACATTGTTTTGAAAATTGCCGGGTTCACGCAGAGAGCATGAAACTTGTTGGCAGAGGGAGGAGAGCAGGGCAGAACGACTAGAGGTCCCTTGGCAGCTGTTTCTCACTCACACTGGAGACCGAGCACATCAGAGGCCACAGCTGACAAAAATGCAAAGGAGGAGGATGAGACGGGAATAACAAACAGATCATGCTTGTGGATAGCAGTGTGTATCCAACAAATCTGATGGCTGTGAATATGTATGACTGAGACAGTGTTCGAGAAACTAAAGTTTGACTCCTGAGACTATTCAGGAGGACACGAAGAAAAAAAAAATAGATAAATCATCACTGTTGTGAGAGTAACATTGCAATGAACACACACGCTCGAGCTTAGCTCTACACACACCTTTCTTCTTCACTCATTTCCACTTCAAGGTACTGGCCTGCTGGTAAGAGCAGCAGCGGGCCACTCAAAACCTCAGCCTACCTCTTCATCTTTTGAAAGGAGCCTGGATTTTCAAGCCCAGAGGACTTCAAGTCTGAAGGAAGAGAGATGATGAAAAACTGCAGGAAGCTGCAGCACATTGTTTCACTAGCTTGCTTACTACCAAAGGCATTGGAGAAGTTACTGTATTAAGTGAGTCCTTGCAAAACCATACCAGACTCCTGTGACTCAGTGTGTGTGTGTGTGTGTGTGTGTGTGTGTGTGTGTGTGTGTGTGTG